TATAGATGAATTAACATTGTTTGTTAAAATTCTGCTCCATGAATTATTCTTTATTTTCGTTTGTCAAATAAGCGCTGCTGAATGTAATTTATCGTAAGAGACTGCCTTCTTGTGGCTTCAGTACAATGAACACACTCCTAATAGCGCTCTAGTTTCCTGGGAGCAACGAGAAAACAGACGTAGGTAGCTGCTGAGCGCTCTGGGCTTGCTCTGCTACAGTGAGGGATTGTGGGTCAGTCCTACAGTGAGGGATTGTGGGTCAGTCTTGCTCAGACTCTGAAATCCTGCGCATCTCTTTTGTGAGACACGGGAGTTTGTTCAAACAAATTCAGCCTGGGTTTTGAAGTCACGATAGAAATGGGATTGGAGCCTGAAGAGAAGTCTTGACGCTCTGAGCTGGTCTGACAAGGAAAAGACTGAATGAAGTTCCATAAGTGGTTAAGCCTTAGGGAGCCACGGTGCTTAAACTGGTTTCTGGGGAAACCGCTTCTCCTGCCTTGTGGGCCGCCATCTTGACGCTGCACGGCACTGACTCAGCTCTTCCTGCAGGCAAGGTGGGGGTGGGGGAAGTGGGAAGCCCTGGTGTTTCATTTCACAAGGACACTACTAGCCGCCCCACCTGATCATTTGCACTTACCAGCTTTTGCCCTGCACTCCTCAGTCTATAGACTCTCTCTCCCTGAAGTAGAATGAGGGTGGGCGGTTGTTTCTTTCCCGAGTGCAGCTGCATTTTAAACATGGAATTACTAGCAGAATCAAAGGAAGGGATCTGAAAGGGCGCAGCAATCAGTGGTCCGTGCAGGCCTCTCAGGTGGGATGGGGAGAATTACAACAAGGCTGTGCTCTCCTGCGCCCTAGAGATTTCTATGCGTTATCGTGGGGGTGGGGCTAACTGGGACCTAATAGCTCCTTATACGGAGAAAAGAAGACATGAATTCTTTTGCAGTTGGAAAATAAAGACAAATCTGGTGGGGAGGGAATGCAATAGAGCTAGAAGTCTGACATTTAAGCAAATGTGTTGTGTTATGGCTATCGAAAGTAGGAATAAAAAAACCTTGAGTGCATGTTAGCATGGGCTAGGCAACTCTAAATCAGACTCCTAAATGTTCTCACTTGTCTTCTTGTATTTCTCTATTATTTTAAGGCTAGAAATAAGTCTGTAAGAATTGTAATAAGTCATTAAGTAAGCAGAAACTTCACATTTTTGTCAAAATCAGTTTCCTTATATTCTTCACTGTTTCTATTTGCTTTGTGCATTCTTTATTTTAAAAAACACTTTACCTCATTTTATTCGAGTGTGTGGTGTGTGTGTGCGTGTGTGTGTGCATGAGTGCACGTGTGTGTGTGTGCATGTGTGCATGCATGCACGTGTGTGTGTGTGTGTGTGTGTGCGCGCGCGCGCGCGTGCGTGCGTGTGTGCACGCGTGTGTACCACAGTTCCCATGTGCTGGCCAGAGGACAACCATCGGGAGTCAGGTCTCTCCCTCCCTACTTGGATGTCATCGGGCTTGGTGGTGAGGCCCTTGACCCACTGAGCCGCCTGGCCCAGATAGTGAATTCTTGTAGAGAATCTAAGCATATCATTTCAAGATACGATGCAAACATACCAATGTTATCATATTGATCAAGAACGCCCATCTGTAGCAGTTTTACATTTTTCTGGCTCCTGTACTCCTCCTACACAGTATGAAAATGACTGAAGAAGAGAGGTGTCCTGAGAAACAGCAGCTGGCTCGTCTGCACACTCTGGGGGGGGGGGTTGGAGGGGTGGGGGGTGTCTGTTCTGACCCAGGGGCAACTGGGTTTTCCTGCTGCCCAGCACTTTCCTTACCTAATACAGGACAGTGAAGGAGGGGAAGTTATCCTCAGTACCTCAGTAACAACATGCTTGAAAAACTAGATCACTCTAGAGCACCCACAGGGAAGGCATCCAGTCAATGTGTGGTAAATAAAAAGGATTCCTGAAATGATTGGTCAAAGTCACAAGCGTGAGACATCTTTAGAAATTAAACTTCTGAACTTTAGCAATTCAAGATTCCTTCTGAAGCCATATCTTCTTGAATGTACTCTTCTTCTTCTTCTTCTTCTTCTTCTTCTTCTTCTTCTTCTTCTTCTTCTTCTTCTTCTTCTTCCTCTTCTTCTTCTTCTTCTTCTTCTTCTTTTTCCTCTTCCTCCTCCTCCTCTTCCTCCTCCTCCTCCTCTTCTTCTTCTTCTACAAACGAACTCGGATTATCAGAATGGAAAAAGTGGACCAAGAAGCCAACTCATAAGCACAAACCTGACAACGGCTTATTAACAGGATAGAACAGTTTGGTGGCTGTATGGCTGTGTATGACTATCACTCCCTTTAACACTGAATGAACAAAGCCTGTCCCCTTCACAGGGGAAACAGGCCTCTTCCACCACCCTCTACACTCAGGTGACTTTCTCCCAGGGTATTTTTAGCCTGCATAGGAAACACTAAAGACAAGGAAGCTGAAATGTCACTGACCTTTTACCTGTACTGATGCCAGCACCGCTGACATCTGCCGACAGTGACGCAGACCCAAGCTGACAGCTTTTTGGCCAGCGAACTACACAGCTTCTTTTTCATTAGACCGGATACCCTCACCAGTGGTTTTTACAAGGCCCGGGAATTACTTCAGACGCTATTTGATTCTGAGACAGGGCACAACACATAATATCTTTAGAATTTACTCCTTCTGGAAGAAAGAGTGGGGCAGTCATCTCAGCGCTGTTTCCCTTGACTGACAGAGCCCTGAAATGGGAGTCCAGGAAGACTGTCTTCAGCAAAAGCAGTCGGCCTAGCCCTTGTGCATTGCCCGAGGCTGTCCTACACTCTGCACCTTGCCAGGACAGCTGTAGTAAAATCACCTGTGTCCAGTCATGCAAAGTCAAGGACCAACACTTTGGTCACTAATATGAAACAGTACTTTCTAGTCTGAAAATACACGGGATCTAACTCACAGGCAATGTTATGTAATATTTTCTTCCTTCGTGGCTGCAAACCACCGACAGATGACATCTTCCTCTCACTTAATTAGATAAATCAAAATTAATGTTTTAGTTCAAACCTAAAACTTTGAGGGTGTCATGTGATCCAAAACAGGGCAGAATGCAGAGGGGCAAAGCAAACAGGCACCTGCTGAATGGGGAACGAGGAGGGGCAGCTATCCCTCACTGTGGTTAATCCAGTCCAGTCTCTGGAAGCAAACACTGACCCATCTGTGAGGGCTCCACCCATTCCCCCTAAAGCCTCTCACTAGGTATCATTACCCAGCACCGACACCCTGTGACGCCAGCCATCAACACGAGTTTTGGTGAGGATGAATGGTATTCAAACCAGAGCAAGTGGGAGGCAAGAGGGTCGATCAGAAACGGCGGCTGTAACAACCGGAAAAAAAGTCACCGGACAGGTAAGAGGAAAAGCTGCAGAAGGTGGAAGAAGACTAGGTGGAGTTTTCACCACTGAAGGGCCAGCAGGTGCAGTCAGCCGCACCACGTGGTGCAGGGAGCTGACTAACTGGGAAGTGCTTAAGGACCACAAGCTCCTAGTTTTGCATAGTTTATGGAGATCAGAGAACAAACTAGACCTCATTCTTCAGCCCTTCCTTCATGAGTGGCTAGTTCCTTTCACTAAAACTCTTCTCCTAAAATACCATTATTTCTCCTTCCTTGTACTGTGCAAAAACCTATACTTCTATAGACTCCAAGTTAAGTTGCTGACCCTGCTCCCAATTCAGCACCTTAAACAGACAGAAGTTTGCTTTTTTGTTTCCTTGTTTTTTGTTTTTTGTTTTTGCATGTAGCAGGCCAGAGGTGGGTGGGGTCACACGGGTGAAATAACTCTACTGTCATCAAAATGACACTTCTCTCTGCAGTCAAAAGCAGCTCCAAGGCTCGGCTGCTTCTCTCCCAATTGAGGGGGGAAGTGGAGAAAAGACAGTAATTTTCGCATATTTTCAAACCTCCCATTCAGAGTACTGGCTAGCACTGAGTCCCACAGGACTCCTACACACAGAAAAAACTGCAGGAATTAGTCATGCAGCCAATCCGGTGGTCAACTTGTGAAGAGAAGGGAAGTCGTTTGTAAAGGAAAAGTGGTTCCTAGAGCAAATGATCAGTACTCACCAGGTCCACCTCCAGGTCTAACATCAAGTCTACCTCCAGGTCCAGCTCCAATACCCTCTTCAGTGAGCAGACCACTCCGTCCATCTTTAACTAGGATCCTAATATTTTCTAATCTTCATATGACAGAAACAGAGTTTTAAGTCAAATTCCTATTTTACTTGCTGGTCTTTCTGCCTAGCTGGCCCTCTCTATCAGCAGGGTACCATTCTGCTGATGAGATGTCCTCTCCATCACAGACATTGGCTGGTGTTTCTAGAGGTTTCAGTGTGCAGTTTTTGACTATTTTTTCTGAGTAGTGAAACTGAACACCCCTGTGAAGTCTATGACGAGAACGCTGCTGTAGCGCAGTAATTGTTACCAATGCTCCTGGCTGGATATGTCCATGTCATCCTCTGTGCTAGCCAATGAAATAAACTTTCATATTTATTATGACACCTGTTAAGCCCTCTTATAAAGATCCCCCCCCAAAAAAACTACAGTGTCTTCATATTAAGGAAGTTCATTTCTCTTATCTAACAGTTGAGCAAGGAGACTCTGCTACCAACCCATGACATCTGTGCGGTCTTTACAGCTGCTATTATCACCTCCTAGCCAGGACAAATGCTTTTATACAAGTGAGATTCAGAAGATTTGTGCTTAGGCTCCAATACTATCTGTATTCTGGTGACGTGTATCATCAAATACTCAGAATGCCTTTCTGTATCACCTTATCTCACCATTTCTGTATTCATTTATTCTCATAGCTGTCTTTACCGAATGCCTAATAAGTGCCCGGCATTTAGTTAGGCAGCAGAAATCCAAAGGCGAGGCAGAACCACCTAGAACATTTACCCAAAAGTTTTTATTTGGATAATTTACTTAAAATTTTTGTCACTCTTTTCTGAACATAAAATTAGGTCTAGAAATTAAATTCAAGAGAAAGCGTACAAAAGAAAGCATACTTGCCTTGATTTTGTATTGTTTACATCAATCCGCCTAACTAAAAATTATAACTTAATGTAAAATTCAGTGGATCATTGAAGACACAAAACCTTGTCAATAAGGACAGGCTGCTACGTTCTTATCAATCAGCTGCCACATTGATACGAGCTTTCCATCACGTAAATGAAACTACACTATGCAAAGCCATTCTCTTCTGCCGAGTTCTCTCCAACTGGGAATCCCACTTCCTGCCAATGTGCCTCCACCATTTATTTGTAAGGAGCACATAACCAGGAGAAGACTCGTCTGTGTCATTGGAGTGAGGATGGGGTATCTAAAGGGCTGGGGAAGTGTGGCTGTGGATGCAGCTGTTGGCTGCAGGTACGTTCGGCTTGCAGCGTCTACTTAGCTTGTACTAAAGTTCCAGTAGGATTCTGTCACTCTTCCAGAATTTAGAAGGCATGAAGAGAAACTTACGAGGTACCAAGCACTGTATCGGCTGTAGTGGAGGTGTCAAACTGCGTATGATGTATGTTATCTTCCCCCAGAACTGTTTTCTTTTCCCCTAAGGAAACAAAAAGAAATGGGGCTGGCAACACAGCTCAATGGGTGAAGGCGCTTGGCTGCCAAGACTAACGATCTGAATTTGATCCTCAAAATCCATATGAGGGAAGGAGAGAACCAATTGCCTCAAATGTGTGTCTGACCTCCATATATGTAGTATGGTACGTGCCCCCCTACACACTCACAGAGACACACATGGACACGCACACTCACACATACATACATACACACACACATCACTAAATACAGTCATTTTTTAAGGCTGTTGTGATGAAGAAGATCTGAAGGGCTGGCATTGTATGTCTGTATTTTCCCAACAAAGCCTGAGTTTCCTGAGTCACAGCTGAACTCTGTGGTGTTCTGCTCCTGCTCCTCTCCTGGTCAAATAATCGTGGTTGTTTTCTCCCCGCTTTTCGCCTGAAGAAGCATTTTGGCATTCAGAAGACAAAGCCAGGTGGGTCCAAAATGATTTTATAACAAATCCATGTAGCTCTTTGCCCAAGGCAGACAGTACAGCCAGTCAGAAAAGTCTGGAACCGCTGGTTCCTGAATCCTTTTTCTGTCCATAGCCAGCCACAAGCTTGCTCCGCAGTCTTAGAGAAAGCCCCTCTATTTTCTACCTTAGTCTTGCCCTGTGTTATGTCAGACTGGGAGATCTCCTCCCAGGTCCTGCCAGTTCTACATCTCTAAATCTGGGTTGGTCAGTTTGACACTGTGAAATAATAGGTCTAAGACTCTGGATGTTTGCCATGAGCCTGGTTTCCTTGCTCTAGATCTGTATGCTAAAAACCAACCCAAATTCAGACTTTTAAGTTATTTTAGCTTAGTCTATGTATCAGGCGCACCATCTTTGATATTCACATGGGGATCCAGTCCTCAGATCCTTCAGGGAATCCACACTGGTGTGTACCCGCCTTCTACCACACTAGTGTGTGCCAGCCTTCCAGGGGCAAAGCAGGATCTACGGCTTCATCTTCCCAATGCTGGACCTTCCTTCTCCCTCTGGAAGCTGGGAACTGGTCCAAAGTTCATCGAATATGCCGAAAATACATCCAATCCTAAGCAAAATTGTCTTCCTTTAGTTTCCTCTAGCTGAGAAAGAAAAATAAGAATTGGAAGTTTATACTTTTAACACATATAAAACTTATAATTTGTTAAAATTATAAACACCAACAGTTCACACCATTTTTCTTGTTAGGGCTACTGCTATTATGATGAACACCATGACCAAAAGCAAGCTGGGGAGGAAAGGGTTTATTTGGCTTACACTTCCACATCCTAGTCCTCCATTGAAGGAAGTCAGGACAGGAACTCAGACAGGCAGGAACCTGGAGGCAGGAGCTGATGCCGAGGCCATAAAACTTACTGGCTTGTTCCCCTTGGCTTGTTCAGCCCGCTTCCTTATAGAACCCAGGACCACTAGTCCAGGGATGGCTCCACCCACCATGGGCTGGTCCCTCCCCATTAATCACTAAGAAAATGCCGTACATGCTTGCCTCCAGCCCAATCATATGGAGGCATTTTCTCAACTGAGGCTCCTTCGTCACTGATGATGCTAGCTTGTGTCAAGTTATCACAAAACTAGACAACAGACCATATCTCCAAATCTCAATTTATTTTGTTTTAACATTTATGTTAACATATATCTTCACATTTTATCTACAAGATACAACTTCTTGGGTCTGTAAGAGGTTTTATGAATATGTACAGTCAAAAGTCAAGAGGGATTTCCCAGTCTTTTTCAATAACGCTGCTAAAACAGGAGGGATTACAAGCCTGTCACTCATCCTGACGTGACATCCCTTGTCAAGTGTCCTGCATGATACGGGGACTTGCCTCTACCATCTACAAGAAGCAAAGGGAAATATCTGGACTGAAGTATCAGAACAAACTCTTGGCAAGCTGAGAAATACTTTGCATGTTGTCTCAACCCGACCCATGATTGTTTTAGGACAAGTATCCCACTGTGGCTGGACACTTGATCTGTAGAATTCCTTAAAAGAAAGGAGTCAGGCAGTGCGAATGTATCATATGTTCCACAAAGATACAAAACGTTCTGGACATGGTCTAGCTCTCAAGGAGTCCTCGGGCTAGCTAGGTCACTTGAGTACTTCTAAAAATACGACGGGATAATGTTTCTGGACTTGTTTTCATGAGACACCAGACCAATTAATAGACAAAGAAGTAGCCATCATCAAAGTTTGCTTTAAGAAAATTATGCAGTCTTTATTGTGTGATTCTTATGCATGGAGTCTTCCATTCGATCTCTGTCCCTAAATTCAAAGCTAAACTGCGCAGCAAGATTTGGGGTTAACGTTATGTATAATAGGACATTTTCTAAACCAGACATTTTGAGCCTTCATATTTGCTTTTTTCCCCTGTAGTTGTAAATTTGCAATGTGTTCCTGCTAACACTGTGTTCTCAAGTTTCCCTGTGCGCCCCCCCACGACCTTAGCCCCTCCCCCAGTCCCAGCATGCTGACCTTACTAAGTGCAAGAATATCTCTTGGAAGCCGCTTCCATCCAACAACACTTTCTAGAATTCCATGTATCGCTCGTTAAACATGCTTTTACATTCTCCTATGCCAAAGGCTAGTTGTTACAGATAGAGCCTTAAACAGCACAGGAATAGTCCTGTCTCTACAGACGTGACTGCCAAAATAGATTTGGACACGAACCCAGGGGCACCAAATGGGGAAGCGATAGAAAATCCTGCGGAGGCCAAGGCAGAGGCTCCTGAAAAAGGAATCTCACCCCAGAAACAAGAGCCAAAGCTCTACTCAAGCCTGAGTTCTCAGCTGATACAGACAGTTCCCACTGGGGTCCAAAACACAGGTCTTCCCATTCCCGCGCATGCCTGAGTATACGGGGTGTTCGTCATGCAGAGGCAGCCTGCATAGTCCTTGAATACTATCAGCAGACCTGAGCCAAGTGCTGTCTTAAGCTTTTTATACACACCTGTGGTTTGGTTTGGTTTTTTTTCACTTAATCCTCGAAACTTCTCTTCCAGGTCGTATACAGGATCACACCTGTTTTCTAAGTATAGAGAAGGTGAGTAACTTGTCCAAGGTGGCATAGCTGTGACTTTGGGAGCAGCCTTTGAATTCGACAGCCTAGCTTAGCCTTCGCTCTCTGGCCCTGACCTCCTCTGTACCTCTGTAGCCCAGCATGTTTTCTAGGGTACCCCCCAACACCCTGCTTTGATGTGAAGAGTAAGGGGAAGTCTTTCCATTCTTGCAGTTACTAAACCCTGTAACAGGAAATTGGTGCAAGCACACCCAGACACAGAGTGCACCCTAGCCTGGTCGCACAGAACTCTAGCTCCAAGCACCCATCAGGAGTGTTGCCAAACCTCCGGGATGCAGAAGGATCCATGTTGGAGGGGGTTAGTTTTGAGTTGTTTTTTTTTTTTTTAACTTTTTCGGGGCCTACCACTCCACTCCCAAACAAATACAAGGAGACTTGTTCTTACTTACAAATGCCCGACCTTAGCTTGCCTTGTTTCTAGCCAGCTTTTCTAACTAAATTAGCCTATATTTATTTAACTACGCATTGCCTCTGGGCCTTTTACCTTTCTTTACATATCTTCCTTTCCTTCTTACTCCATGGCTGGCTGTGTGGCTGACCCTGGCGTCCTCCTCTTTTTCTTTTCTCCCTCCCCGCTTCTCCCTAGATTTTCTCCTCCTGTTTAACCTCACAGCCTGCCAGCCTAGCCTGTCTCTTCTCCTGCCTCGCTATTGGCCATTCAGCTCTTTATTAGACCCAACAGGTGTTTTCGGCAGGCAAAGTAACACAGCTTCCCAGAGTTAAACAAATGCAAAATATAAAAGAATGCAACACACCTTTGCATCACTAAACAAATGTTCCACAGCATAAATGAATGTAACACATCTTCAACTAATATTCCACACCAGTGAGAGGAGGGGATCCTGTTGTGTTTAGAGAACAGTGTCCTAAAAACTTAACCACAGGTCAGGAAAGGGAAGGGCCCTTTAGCCCTGAAGTACAAAGGAAGTCGGCTGCTTCAGGACCAGCAAGACAGCTTAGCAGGTAAAGGCACTTGCCCCCAGCCCAACGGCCTGAATTTAACCCTCTCAAGCCCACATTCTCACAAGTTGTCCTCATACACAGGACAAGACAGATTAATAAAATACAAAAGATATGTTGCTTCAGCACCCTGAAAGGTGACGAAACTGCTGCTGTGCTTATGAACAGACACTGAAGTTTTATAATCCACATTTCTTTTCTGCCTCTTCCACTCTGAAGCCAGGAGGGAAAAATATACCCATTGTACTAATTAAATCCTACCTGACGATCTGGTTCACACTGGTCTCTATTCTTTGTGGGGAACAGACAGAGAACAGGGTATTAGAACTACTAACAAAGCGGGGTGGGGGGAGATGAGTTATCAACAGAAGCAACATTTCAAGTGAGAGCCTGCCAGAAGGAATTGTGCCTGAGTTTAAAAAATAATGGCGTGAGTGTGTGTGTGTGTGTGTGTGTGTGTGTGTGTGTATGAGTGTATGTGCATGTCTGTGTGCATCTATGTGTGTATGTATGTATCTGTGTGTGTATGTGTGTGTCTGTGTGTATGTCTGTGTGTGTGTCTGTGTGTGTATGTGCATGAGTGTGTGTGTGTATATGTGTATCTGTGTGTGTGTCTATGTGTGTATCTGCTTGTCTGTGTGTGTGTCTGTGTGTATATGTGCATGCGTGTGTGTCTGTGTGTATATGTGTGTCTGTGTGTGTCTATGTGTGTATCTGTGTGTGTATGTGTGTCTGTGTGTGTCTGTGTGTATATGTGTATGCATGTGTGTCTGTGTGTCTGTGTGTATGTGTGTGTCTATGTGTGTATGTGTGTATGTGCGTGTCTATGTGCATGTGTGAGTGTGTCTGTGTCTGTATGTACATGCGTGTGTGTCTGTGTCTGTGTCTGTGTGTGTATGGGGGAGTGGTGCAAATTATCCCTCTGGCTAAGAAAGGCGGCAGCACACACATAGGAGCCTCCCCTCCTCCTGTCTGAGGAAGGAGTTAGGTAGATGGAAACGCCTTCAAAGAACCTAAGATGTGAGAAATGGAAGGCATAGCAGGCTGGAATTGTCACTGGATATTTTTAGGAGAGCTTATTTTGCAAGCTAAAATTACAGAACAGAACAATGTAGTCAATTAAAAATATTTCAGGATGAGTTTCTGGCCTTGGGAGAGGATAACAGGAGAGTCATAACCGGTGACAAAGAACCAGAAGAGACTACCATCCCTGCAAAGCACTGGTGCCACTTTAAAATGACATTTTAAAATAAACTGACTTATTCCCCAATAGTCAGATCAAGTTGTCAACAAAAGGAAGTGGCTTATAGAAGAATTCAGAACAAGGACTAAAAAATTTTTCAAGGGAGAGTACTATTCATTATTTAGGCTCTATATTCTTCATTAAAGGGTCTAGCAGGGGTGGGACTATAAGGCCATACACTAAAGAATCCCCACACTCAGTTTTCATGGCCTGTGGGGCACCCCTATCTGGTTCCTGTCCCAATGGAACCCCATACTTCCTATATCCATGTAGGGGCTCAAGAGTTATCATTGACAGATGAGAAAACTGAGATGTGAGAAGGTCAAATATATTTATATGGGCTCTCAGGTAAGAGTACAAATATATTTATATGAAGGGCATGCAGGTAGGAGTGCAAGGCCCATGGTTTCTTTCCAAACTGCCTATAGGCCACAAGTTTCAGTGAGGTGAAATGTGAGAAAAAGTTATTAAAGAATTGAAATCTTGGGCAGTGGTAGCGCGTGTCTTTAATCCCAGCACTTGGGAGACAGGGGCACGCGGATTTCTGCGAGTTTGAGCCCAACCTGGTCTACAAGTGCTAGTTCCAGGACAGCTAGGACTGTAACACAGAAAAACCCTGTTTCAAAAAAAAAAGAAAGAAAGAAAGAAAGAAAGAAAGAAAGAAAGAAAGAAAGAAAGAGGGAGGGAGGGAGGGAGGGAGGGAGGGAGGGAGGAAGGAAGGAAGGAAAGAAAGAAGAAAGAAATAAAATTTCAGTTATCTTGTCTTGTTCTGTCAAACCTGTCTCTTAGGTTGCCTCGACTC